CTCATACACAATACTTACACACAACACACACTACATACATATATAGTTTATACATACAAGCATGCTCACACAAATAATACATACACACTCATATAACACAATTCATACCTACATACATTTGCACATACACATATATACAAATACACAAGCCACTATACACACATAATTGCATATACACACACTTCATACATACATACTAGCATATTCATACACACAGTCCCATACACAAACATGTACAAACACATCCACTCACACACACATATTTGTATATACACAATATGACATTCACACTCAAATATGATAGCATACTCATACACAGCAGTCCTATAACACACTACAGAGATGAACCCACACATCTATATACACACTCACACCCATACTTGAATACACACACAGTATACACATACTTACATATCCACATGCTTTAAACATGCATACTCATACACACACACTCCCATGCACACTAAATATCTACACAGACACATAAACACACTATATCCACATGCTGGTAAACATGCACATATACACGTATACTCAGGAGGTAAGTAAAAAATGATCGGCACTCTGGCTGTAGAATTTATTTTAATCAACTTTTATAAAAGATACATCATTTTTTGACACAATTGCCTTACTTTTCAATACACTTCATCCATCAACAAGCTTTTGTATTCCCTCATTAAAAAATGTTTTAAGCTGAGCTGTGAGACACAAATGCACCGTTGTCTTCACTTCTTCATCAGAGGTAAATCTTCATCCTCAAAGGGCTGCTTCCAAGGGACCAAACAGGTGAAAGTCTGAGAAACAAGATCAGGACTATAGGGAGGATGCTTAACACCTCAAAATGATGTTTTTGCAGAGTGTCAACAGTGTGGGCATAGGTGTGCAGATGTGTATTGTCATGCAAGATGACAATGCCCTTGGATAGCAGTCCTCTGCGTTTAATCCAAAGTTTAGGCTTTAGTTCTTCAGTGAGCTTCTCATTGTAAGGAGCACTGTTGATTGTTGAACCTTTTTCCTGATAGTGTTCCAATGCTGGCCCTTGAAAATCCCAGACAATATAAGCATCAATTTTCTAGCTGACGCTTGACTTTTGAACTTTTTCTTGGTCAGCAACCGGGGATGTTTCCATTTCATACTCTGCCGTTTACTTTCAGGCTCATAGTGATAAATTCATATCGCATCACTAATAATGATTTTTTTGAAAGAAACTTTTACCTTCGAGTATTGGTCCAAACACTTTTGTTTATGCTCTTCCGTGAGTTGTTTCGGTACCCGTCTCATATAAACTTTTCAAAACTCAAGACTGTCATGGATGATTTCATAGGCAGAGCCATGGCTGATTTGCAAATGATTTGTCACATAATCCACTGTCGCTTGTCTATTTGACAGAATCATTCCTGGGCATGTTCAATGTTGTCACCAGCTGTGGACATGGATGAGTGTTTTAATATAACTAGAGTGTGGATAATTTTTAAATTACCCTTGCACATATACTCACATATACACCCCCCCCCACAATCACATACACACATACACTTATATCATGCATCATGGACACACATACACACTCACATATACATACCTAATACCCATATATACATTCATATACACATGTACATACATACACAAACACATAGCCTATACACACACTCACCCACCCACCTACACACGTGTGCACACACATGTACATACATAAACATGCACATACACACCTTCATGCCTATACACACTTCTCAGAAACACTCACGTATACATATCTACACACTTGCATGAACACCTATACACAACCTCACACATACACCTACACACACTCACTACACACATACCTACCTATACTCACAAACATACATACACTCATGCATATCTACATACTCACATGCACACATATACACTCAGATATACATACCTACACACACGTACATACACCCATATACCTACATACACTCATATACACAACCACATATTCATGCCTACACACCCCCACATACACACCTACACACATTTATCACGCACATGCATAGCACCACACACTGGCACACATGCCTACACACATTCACATATGCATATCTACATACACTTACACACATTCACACACACGTTTGCTGTCTTGTGCGGTGATACACAAGCACAGTTCATTCCCCTTAGGGTCAGAGGTCCCCACATCCTAGGGACTCAGTGAACAAGCAGTCAGGAAACCCTATCTATCAGGGCTACAGGAAGGGCCCCAGGAAGAGCGGTAGGAAGGGGATGATAAGACAGAAGACTGTTCTGCGTTCCCCAGGCCATTCACCAAGCAGTGGCTCACTGGGCTCCAGGCTCACTGAGATTCTAGTGCGGAACAGCAGCTCTCTGGAGAGTGAGGTTTCTACTTGTGGGTATCATCCAAGACACCGTCAGAATCCCAGGGGCCGTACTCTGCTGCCTTCCTCATATTAGTCCAGGAGTAGCAGACAATAGCCAGCCCCCTCTGGTTTAAGGCAGGGGACTACCATCTCAATGCTTCCTTGTATGGCCATGTGGTTCCCTATTTGGGAAGATAAAGGGAGGAGAGGGCTGAAGCTGAAGTCAGGCTGTACTCTGTCCCCTAGAGCACTGTCCAGTATGATAGCCACAAATTGCATGTGCCTACTGTACACTTGGAAAGTCGCCAGGGCCACTGAGGGCCAGAAGACTGAAGTCTATATAATTTTCACTAAAACAGAGTCACAACAACCCATTGCCATCGTGTTGATTCCAACTCACAGTGACTCTATACAGAGTTCCCACAACTGTAAATCTTCATGGGAGCAGACAACCTCATCATTCTCCAGTGGAACAGCTCATGGGTTTGAACTGTCAACCTTGTGGTTTGCAGTCCAGTGATTATCGTACATGTGGCTGTTGTTGTTAAATTGGTTCTAACTCATTGCAACCCTCTATAGGGTTTCTGAGAGCAGCTGGTGGGTTTGAACTGCTGACTCGCGGTTACCAGCCTAGTGCTTATCCTACTGTTGTTGTTAAGTGTTACAGAGTCAGTTCTGACTCATACCGACACTGTATAGGGTTTCCAAGGAGTGGCTGGTGAGTTTGATCCACCGATCTTATGATTCAAACCGACCTTTCAGTTGAGTGCTTATCCTACAGCACCACTTCCAAACGGGGCAGCATTGAGATCATTTTGTGTCTTCAAACAGACTTTTTCCAGTCTTTCCTTCGCTCTTTCCATTTTAAAAGTAAGTTGTGATCTGCACAGTCAAATTCATCCTATTAACAGCTCTGCCTGTTTTGAGAAATGCATGCAGTCATACTACGATCATGAGCAAGATACAGAATTATTTCATCACACAACCCCCCCCACACACACACACACCAAAATTCCCTTGTAGCATTGTGGAGTCAACTTCTTCTTGACACTAGAGTTACAGGATGGAGTGACTAGGCTCCAGAGATTGCTGGAGCCCTTTTTCCCTTCCTCCAGTGACCCAGGATCCAAACTTTTAGGTTGTGGGGTTTTGTAGGGAGTCCTGGTGAGGCCCTGTGGGATAATGCATCAGACTGCAAAGTCGTTTGAACTGCAAAGTCCGTGGTTCAAGCTCACCAGCTGCTACTTGGAAACCCTATACAGGGTCGCTATGGGTCAGAATCGATTCAATGGCACTTAACAAGAACAGAGGGTAGAAGGAAAGGCAATGAGGAGAGGACTCGTTGGCACTAGGGGGTGGGGGCTGGCCAGGAGCCATCTGTCCCTTTCTCCTGTGACCTGTTATTGAATACCGTGGAGTCACAGTGACCCTGCACGGGGTTTCCGAGGCTGTAGTGACCCTGCACGGGTTTCCGAGGCTGTATATCTTTCCGGGAGCAGAACGCCTCATCTTTCTGGGTCAGAGCCGCTGATAGTTTCGAACTGCTGACCTTGAAGTTGGCAGCCCGACTCGTAACCACTACGCTACCAGAGCTAGTATCCTATTTTTCAGGTTAGAGGTTTTAGGGGTGATGGGGCGGGAGGGAGGGGCAAAGGTGGGGGGGGAGGCAGCAGGTGACTTGGGCCCTGGAGGTTGCTGAAGTCATGTTGCCCTTTCTCAAGTGCTCAAACCTTCACATTAGAGGTTTTGGGGGTTACTCAGTGTGTGTGTGTGTGTGTGGGGCAGCCAATGGCAGAGGGCAGCTGGAGGTGATAGTACCTCAGGGTCAGAGAACCACTCAGGCCCTGAAGACTGTCGAGATCATGTGGTTCTTTCTTCCGTGCCCCACGACCCAAACTTTGAACATAGAGGTTTTGGGGTGACAGGATGAGAGGGGAGGGGCAGCCATCAGGGATGGCAATGATGGTGCTGGCCCAGAATCGGGGAACGAGGGGGACCCAGGAGACTGCTGAGGTTTTGTTCCCCTTTTTCTAGTGAGCAAACTTCCAGGTTAGAAGTTTTGGATGTGACAGTCCAGGTGGGGGTGGGGGTGGGGGAAGCAGGCCGCAGCGGGGTGATGAGGTTAGCGACTCAGACACAGGAGGCTGCCGATGTTTTCTGTCCCTTTCTGTAGTAACCAAACGTCCAGTTTAGAGGTTTGGGGGTTTCGGGGACACAAGTGGGAGGGGCTGCCAGCAGCGGGGTAGGTGGGTGGGGTAGTGGGGGCGGGCTAGTTCTGGCGCCTGGATCTTCCGCGCCTGGCGGGCGGCTCCGCTCCGGCCGGTGGTGAAATCC